AATCCGCCGTTTATTTGATGGTAATAAACGGAACGGTATCTTACTCGCTGTTTTATCATTTTGCGCGTCTATCCGTTGACTTCAAATTCTCTCTCGTCGCCCCCATGTTCCCCTCTACCATTTTCAGTGAGCTGAGGCTGAGCCGCCCGGAAACCTGAAAACGGCCGTGGTGAGGGATGGTGGTGCGGGAAAGCCGCACCTGGCGCCCAACAATTAGATCTTCGGATCTTTTTCTTCGATTTCAGCACGTTGGGAGCAGCCACGGATTATTTGTAGGCGACGCCGATGAACGGTACACGTCACAGTATATAAAAGGGTAATTTTACAATATTTCATAATAGTATTGTATTACGTAATTATTATGTTTTTCGTCTATCAATCTAGATCAGATAAACAACTTGCTACCGTGAATATCGTCTGTTTAAAATATCATCTGTATATCCATCCTGACTGTAGACCGCAATTTAATTAATACGCAATTGTTTAATTTTTCTAAATTTAATCATAATCTCATTATCAAACCAACCTTGGGTTACAGGAGATGGTTCCTGTAACAGACACGTAGTGAGCATATTCGCCGTGGCAATGGTGGTTCTCTTATGGGCGTTACTAATGTTCCTGGCTTTGCTCCAGGTTGAGAAGGTACTCAGTCCTTTGTTATTACTAAATGTCAAGTTATATTTGATCACTCTGGTGCTCGTTATGAAAACCAACTTCAACCCTTGATCGGATCTCTCGATCATCCTTGTGATATTTTCAGCCCATAACCAGCCCTTTGACAGAGCCTCGACTATACCGTCCGCAGGTGAAACCTCTTGTGCTGTAACCAATTTGCAAAAAAGCGCCAAGGATCTCATCTCCGTGGCAAGGATCTCACGTCTTTTCTTCCAAGATTCGACGTGCCAGGCATTCTCGTGGGAGGAATTAAATAGATTTCCAAGGTAGGGTCGCAGAATTGGACCCAGGGTCTTCTTATCATTTTCCATGGCTGAAACATCCACAAGGTCAAAAATTAGGATGTGGAAATATTCAACACAAGAACACAGAAGTCTTAATAACGCATGAATAAATTTTCACCCGAGGGCGTATATACAGGTTGTCCCAGAATTGCTTTTAGACCGGAAAGTGGGCGATGCCTGGAGGTGCCCTGAATACCCTCCCGCAAACCGTTTCCCAAAATTCGCGATAGTTTTTAAATGAGAAGAATTTAAGTGCGACCAATCAGAACGAAGGATTTCCGCGGATTCACTCGCGAATGCCAAAGATAGCTGCTTTACAATAGCTTCCAACAAATTCCGCGTTTAGCAATTGTTTCATAGCCCGAGCGAGCGTCGTAGGATTTGTTGACAAACGCGGAATTTGTGGGAAGCTATTGCAAAGCAGCTATCTTTGGCATCCGCGAGTGAATCTGCGGAAATCCTTCGTTCTGATTGGTCGCACTTAAGTGCTTCTCATTTAAAAACTATCGCGAATTTTGACAAACGGTTTGCGGGAGGGTACTCAGGGCACCTCCGGGCATCGCCCACTTTCCAGTCCAAAAGCAATTCTGGGACACCCTGTATATGTATTGTGACGTGATTTTTCGAATCACGGTTCAAGGCGGGTCCGGTGACCGATACAGATAACGTTCTCGATTTCTGGTTCCCTTCGGGTTGCCACCCTGCTTAGAAACTACGCTCTCGGGTTGATTCGTACAGTTATGTCAAGGCTCTCGTAAGATTTCGATATTGTTTAGTTGAGGTCGACGTGCTCGAATCTGCCGTGGGGAGATAGTCTCGACGTACCGAGTTGCCCGGCAGAGGAGAGTACCCGACGGAGACCGAGGTGCTCGAATCTGCCGTGGGGATATAGTCTCGACGTACCGAGTTGCCCGGCAGAGGAGAGTACCCGACGGAGACGTCTCCACGGACCGGCGGAAGCTCGGGTGAGATACCGGCGCCCCGCTGGAGATGGGCAAATGGCTGTAGAGCGGGCGGAGATAGTTGTAATACGGTTAAGAGCAGGAGAGGAACCTCCTGCCTGAGTTAAGGACGTGGTGCCCAGCTGTCGCCCGATGCCCTGGGGAAGCGGCCGTGGAGGATCTCCAAAAATCACGTACCGATTCGCTAACGAACGCTCTCGATTTGGTTTAAAGGGACGACTCGAAGGAGATACAAGAGTTGTCGGTTGATAGTCTCGACGTACCGAGTTGCCCGGCAGAGGAGAATACCCGAGGGAGACATCTCCACGGACCAGCAGAAGCCCGGGTGAGATACCTAGGCCCTGCTGGAGATGGGCAAAGGGCTTTAAAGCGGGCAGTTTGTTACGGTTAAGGGCAGGGGAGGAACCCCCTGACCCGAGATAAGGATGCAAGCAGCCGTAGAGGATCTCCAGTTGTTACGTAACGATTCGCTAAGGAACGCTCTCGATTTGGTTTAAAGGGACAACTTAAAGGAAAGGATAAGAGTTATCGGCTATAAGGATCTCGATCAATCAGAATGATTATTTCTCGGATTTGGCTATTGTCAAAGCAGTCTGTCTCGAAGCATCGACCGAGGTGTCACGGGCTGGCTCGTGCTCCCGTGCTATCTGTTGATAGTTTTTCTTGCCGTGTTTCGCTATGATATAGCAAGTTCTCGATTCGTACAGTTCTCGCGTTGTTCTCGTGATATCCAGGCAATTCTATGAATTCCTGTGAGTGTTACGGAGGTGTAGTGCAGTGCCTTAGTGCAGTGCTCACCAGAGGTTGGTTCTCGAAGATAGTCGTTCTCGTATGTTTTGCTATCGGTGTCGAGTCAAGTTAAAGGAAATACGTTACAGTACATGTATATGTATAGATACATATCTATGAATATATTGAAAAGTGGTTTCCAGGACTTTTTTTCTTCAATATTGGCAGTTATGAGGACATTTGGTGTTTTCCAGGATTGACTTGGAAGTATTCTATATGCAACTTAAATTTCCAGGGCCGTTAAGCGGCCCTCAAATTGAATTTTCCCCAAAAAATGTTTGTGGTCGACACTCAGAGTTGTGACGGGCTAAGTAATGGCTTCGTTTGGTTAGATTAGGTTAGAACTTCAATGCCACATGTCCCAATGTTTAGTTTTTTTTTAGACAAAATACATCGGCTTGCCGTTGTGAGTGCTGCATGTCCTGGAAACTGCCCTTTGACATATTTATATATACGTATATACACACAACTGTATGCCCTTCAGTGATTATACATTGTGACGTGGTAGATTTTACCCCGTCAGGTCCTCGGCGGGAACTGTAGTGATACGCGGAAAAACGCGAATTAGAAAATAATCCAGGCAAGATCCCATCACCTCAAGGGCCAACAATGTTACGAATTTGCTGATTCCGATTCTGTTGTTTGATTTTTGCTATTTCCCATGCCGCGAGTATTGTATTCGCGAGCTTACCCAATTTCGAGAAGAACCAGCGATGGATCATCGGCGGGGGAAGAACGAGGACGAAAGGCTGAGTGACGTCAGAGTACCAGCGGGGCCCTAGCTGCGCGCACCAATCATCTCGCGACTTGGATCAACTCTACGCACGATCTCACCCGAGCTAAATGAACTGGTCTACGCGTACCAAGTAACTAGCGGGAAGCTATTACTCATGCCGCGTGACAGAGACCTACGAACGACGAAGCACCTGCAAACGCACCACAACGCGTGACGGCCGCCCACCGCTATCGACGAAAGGAACGAAGACTCGCGAACTGAGAATGCGGGGACGCCTGGTGAACCATTGTGAATTCCTATGGGACGACGAAGCCCATCGCAGGACAGCCGTTAATCGCTGTGCCCGATCTGTATGAATTGTCGCGAAAACGCATTTTGAATTGTAGGGCGTGGTGCCACTTTGCAGATTTCTGATTGGGGCCGAAGGACCAATCAGCTGTAGTTGCTAGTTGATAAGAGAAAGGATGATCGTCTCCGGTGCTGCCGATTACGAATGAAAGGGAAGGCGAAATCCTTCTTCTTGCCTGGACTGTCAACGACGCGAGTCGTGTTTTAAGCCATTTTGTTTTTTGGGTTTAAAGTCTGAGGAGAACTAGGACGTTGTCAGAGGCCGCGTTAACGGGCTAATTTCTCCAGAATGAAGAGACGTAGAGATTTCGGTAAGCGATTTGTTGTTTTTGTGAGCGATGCAATCTCATAACACCCCGCGTTTCATACGTTTTTAACTGGTGTCTGTAGGCACGTGGGAGAAGTTTCCACAGGTAGAATCGCGTTCGTTTAGTGTACGAGATTCCGCCGACCGGCAAGGGACCGTGTTCGCGTAAATGTGTTGCCCATAGTGGAGATATTTATCGCGCATTTTGTGAAGCTATTCGAGTATGAATGTGTTTGAATGATTGGTTCTCTCGGCAATGGTTGAGTGTTTGATCTCCGAAATACATTGTATCGCGTTCAAGTTAGGGACGTGTTGCCGAGAGGCACGAAGCGGTCCTTGAGGTCGTGTTTTTCGCAGTGTCGCGATTAGATCGCGTTATATTGTAGAATCGACTCATGTATTGAGATTGTTTATATTTGAACCGTATAGCGAATTGTTCAAACGTATGTATGGGCTTTTGGAAATGTTGAAATGTATCGAATCGTGCGAAAGTATTTATTAAATTCGGAAATGTGAAATTTATATCGGACTGTACGACTGTATTTATTGACTTGTAAGAATTTGACTGCGCGAAATAGATCGCGAAATTTGTCAGCAGAAATTTAGTATAACACGAGTTCGAAAGGCATTATTTTAGGTTTTAGACCCTCATAACTTTGTAAATTACTTTGTTGTTTTAATCGCGATCTTATTGGGTCCGTTATTTATTCTCGAAATTGTTGAATCGAAATTTTTGTACACACGTGGTCGCGCTAGAAATGGACGCACGAAATGAAGTCTGATTTTGTTATTGTTGACCCAAAAAGCCGATGTATATTTCCTTTTTGGTTGAAGTTGTTCTTAATTTCAAAGATCCCCGACGCCTCCGCGGAGCTGAGTTAACTAATAGAGGCACGAACGAACGAATCGTAGGAATTGATACGTGGTTCCCCTTTTGAAACCTGGCGCCCGACAATACCGTAGGTATTTCGAGTTTAGGATGTGTTAGCCGTGGGATGTCTGGAACGCGAAGGAATCGCGTAAGTTGTGCGCCGGTCGGTCTTGCATTTTCCGGTGAAGTCGAGGCGAAAATATACGTCACAATATATAAAAGATACACAATACAAGCAAGAATACGTTTGTAGCTATATACAAACTCCTATAATATCATCAGGGGTATACAATAAGAATAGATGTGGCCCTCAAAATGTAATGGAAGGACTCATATTATTATGTAGAATATGCATAAGGATGCTAAAATTGAAAGACGATACCATGTAAGCACTTTCCGAAGTCCTGAAAAACTTATTGCGCTGAAAGTTCAAAATGTTTCAAAGAACCTCAGGGAAGTTTAATCGAGTTTCCCAGTCGGCAAAATGATATTCACAACGGGCTATAACAAACGACGCAAGGAGCTTACTCTTACCGCTTTACGGTACTTTATCTTATTTCCCTTTCTGCAGGGCCAGTCATTCTCAATATTCTACATGCTCGAATTACTCACGTCTGTTGATTTTCAAGTTAAACGTGTATTAGAATTGTTCAAATGAAAACAGGCATATAAAAAGAAATTTAAGGTGTAACATTTATTTGGTATTTATTTATCATTTATTATCATATTACGTTTACTGTTTCGTAATTAAACTCACCAAAATATAACCATTTGAGAAGCGTTCTGGCCATAATAGAGTTACTCTCTAAATCCAAATAAGCAGTTTCTCTATCACGTCTTATCAGATCAACAAGCACGTCAACGGATCTGTCGAAGTAGGTCGCTGTGTTGCTCTTCCTGCGTCCGTAGCTTTTGAGCTTGCGTCGCTCCTGTTTCCGGTTCCGACAATCCGTTATCACGTAAATCTGCTCCCTCGCCTGCCGTAGTACCAGAGTTACGAGATAAAGGAGATTCTCAACAGGCTCAGGACTATGCGGCGATATCGGAAAACTCGAAAAGGAACCGTTTTCGAAGCCCTGGAGCAAAAGACAAATGGCAGGCGAATTATCTATGAAACGAGTTATAACTAAAAAATGGTAAGTTGGAAACAAAATTTCTTTCTCCTTCATTTTCTGCTATAACAAAAATATCCTTTCTAATATTTCCACTGTGTATTACAGCTATAAGGGGTGAGTCGTTTAATTTGGCACAAATGAATATCTCAGTAAGGAAGCATTTTACGAAAAAAATGGTCGAACAAATTTCATTTGGCTTCGAGGGGGAAAGAAAGTGCTGTGCCGTAATTTTCTAATCACGGCGGTTTTCAAGGTCTTCCCAAAATCAAATTTGCTTTTTTAAATAGGAACCTATATTTTTTATTGCAGATTGTTATGCTGTACAAAGAACCAATTAATTTTTGTTAGAAATATTTTTTAATAGGACCAGTATTTTCAATAAGAGGAGAACAAAATTAACTAACTTATTAATTAGAAATTTTAGGCTTTCGCGGCCAATATTGTCATTAGTACTCATGGTTTTCGTATGGAAGCCGCGTTTGTGTTCAGCTTCGCGCCGACGTTTCGCAAACGTTTCAATCTGCATCTTTAGGGCTAGGAGGCTCAGATACTGAAGCTCCCTGTTGTCAGAAAGTCTTAATATACCTATGATTGCTTATGCGGATCAGTACTTCAGCCAATCATAAGTTGTTTTTATTTTTAATTGATCAGCTGATCCACTAAAAACAACTTATGATTGGCTGGAGCACTGATCCGCATGAGCAATCATAGGTATATTAAGACTTCCTGACAAAAGGGAGCTTCAGTATCGGAGCCTCCTAGCTCTGAAGATGCAGACTGAAACGTTTGCGAAACGTCGGCAGAAGCTGAACACAGACGCGGTTTCCATCCGGAAACCATGAGTACTAACTTATTAAATAATTAACAAAATTAGTTACTTAACTTAAAAATTATCTCAAGAGAGTTCGAAAATGCATTGATATTGAAAGACATCATTTTCAACACTTATTATAATATTATTTGGCAATATTAACTATAAATAGATTATTTATTCAAGAAAAAAACGTTAATTAATTTTGATCTGCTCTTCCGATTTTCGTATCTACAAAATCGCTATACTTATTAACAATCTCGGGGCCTACGCTTAACGTTGAAATAACATTGAAAATACTGATCCTATTAAAAAATATTTCAAACAAAAGTTAATTAGTTTCTTATATAGCATAACAATCTGCAATAAAAAAATATAGGTTTCCATTTTAAAAAAAAAACAAAACCTTGGGAAAACCTTGAAAATCGCCGCAAATAAAAAATAACGATACGTCTCCCCCCCCCCCCC